GTTGTGTGGCCCTAATACTCCGTTGTACTTTTACACATACAGCACGTTTAGAAATCAAAAATAATAAAAACTTTGTACTTCTTCCATATACGTTTAATTTGAGTTTCTTGAAAACAAAATTGTTTACTGACATGAAATAAAAGTTTTCAAAACACCCATTTATTCAGCGTAATTTGATTAAAAGTTTTGTCTGTTCACAAAACATCACATGAACCAGTTGACTAATTTTAATGAAAGTTTTAGAGTTACCGCTGAATGTTCATTTAGTCAACCCAATTTTAAATCAACCTTTGACATCATGCAAATGGCAACAATTTAGTCAATTTTATGGACTTTAAGCTATTTGTTCTGGTATTATAGCTGAAAGTCATTCAGCTCATATTCTCTGGTATTGTATTTTAGGGTATGACCAAAAAAGCCAAAACATTTCCATTTCTCAACTAATCACGTTCAGTCTTACTGTAGTTTTTAGTCTCTGATATGGTCTAAAGTTATTTTCTGTAATCTTGTATATGTATTTATTACATATAGAGTGACTTGCTTTGGGTCTTTTAATATCAAAACCGTATTTAATCGTAGATCTATTCAGTTAGTTTCCAACGTGAATTCACCAGCAAATCTTCTCTCATTAGTTCAAAGTTAAAACACTCTGTCCTGAAGTTAACATCATAACAAAGATGTGTCTTACTAATTCAGCATAGTGAAGAACAATGATCCAACTGCCATCATCTGGTTTCCTCCCAGCACCCAAGAACTGAACAATCCYGCTGTGCTCCATCAGTGGCAGCTCATAAACCTCCTTCTCTGTAGTGAACATGTGCTTCCAGCCTGCAGAGTACACCTTTACAGCCACCACAGAGTTCTTGTACCTSCCCTGAAAAACAGTTGCAAAGCGCCCATGGCCCACAACCTGTAGGGTGAATAAACAAAATGAACAGAACCGAAGACCACAGGACTAAGCACCACAATGAAGATGAACTGGTGAAATTTAAATCCATTTTAACTTTAGGGGTTTACCTCCTGTAGTTCAATGTCGGTGATGTCGCTCTCGGAGGCTTTTGTTTGACAGGAACACGGTGGCCGGATGTTGCAAGACTGTAGATTCTCCTCTAAAATAAAACGTGACATATATCACATGCAATCCAACTATTTTAATTAAAACTAATGTGATTAAATGTTGACTGAAGGACTGGGGAAAGAGAGGGGAAAGGAGTTCTGTGACACAGATGAAGAGCAAGCTCAGTTAAGAAGAGAATAAAAGCGACACAAGGTTTAATAGAGGCATYGGGAGAACTTCATTTTTATGCAGGTTTTTTATTTTTGTGCGGGGTATGGGTATTTTCCAGGCACATGGTTCAATTCTATACCACAATCAATCAACTATGACACCTTCAGTTGTTATGAAAATGCTACATACTGTRTATTAAAAATAAATTTCACTGTGGATCATAGTCTATCTTAACGCCTCAAACCAGCAAGTGTTTAACTAGCTCCACATGGCTGCCACAGGAGATTTGAGGATTTCCCTTTTTTTCTTTTTCTTTTCCTTTTTCTTTGACAAAGAAAAAAAAGGATTTCTCTAACATGCAAGAATGAATCAAAGCAACACTCTGGGTATGTTCTTGAGGAGGCAATGACATTATAACATGATAAAAAGCTCAAAAATGTCAATTATGCTTTAAAAACACAATCACAGAATGATTARTCATCTGAGGTTTGGAGTGAGCACTATATGAAAATTGTTACATCATTGAATCGTATGTGCCACAGGAGGTCATTCCTTTTCAAATTTTGCATAACCAGGTTTGATAACAAACTGAATTTAGCAGAAAACACACCTTCATTTTGGTTCTTCATCTTGGCTGAGGATAAAAACAGAAATAATTTAAAAAAACTGTCTACTCACATTTCATATTGTCATTAAAAAGATGCAATAAGTCATCGTGAACAGAAAAATACATGATGCTTGATGGTTGCAAATTGAAAAAATAAAAACTCTTACTTTTCTTTTCTCTGAGTATTCTCCAGCTCAAAGCAAAAATTATGATGACAGTAGTGCAAAGAACTGCGACCATTATGGCTTCAACTGAAAGAAAAGGCATAAAAGACAAAACACTGAACCAACTCTGGAACGTTTTGTGATTAATGACATAAATGGTGGTTCTGTTTTCAACAGCTGCCTCTTCTGAACATACCTGCACAGAAGGAGTGTGTGAGCAGCGGCTGCTCTCCTGCTGGAGTCACTGTAATGTTGCTGTTGCACAGGTCTGTGTTGCAAACACACCTGATGTACGGATACCTGAAGTGGTTTGGGCTCTTGCAGGTTTCTTCCGGGCAGAGCTCATATTGTAACACACTACAAGCTGAAACACAAACCAGGTAACACGGTTAAAACAGACAAATGACACACGTTGAGTTACAAAACACACAAACAGGTGCAATTTGTCGCACACATTTGTAACATTTTACAAGCTCATTGAAGTCAGACTTTTGCTTCTGACTCAGGGGTTCTGATCCTTTCTTACCAAGCGATACAACCTTCAGCTGCTCATTTATTATCTGGTAACTGGCCTCACAGCAGCTGGTGTTTTTACAGTGTTGCACATTTCCAATCACATCACCAGAAGCAGTGTATTTCAGATCTGTCTTGTTGTTCACTTGGAAAGCACACTGTCTTCTTTGAAGCAAAGACTGCTGGGGGAAGCACAAAAAAACACAATCTGGGGAGAAAGAGAAAGTCAGTTATTGGGGTTTAGTTGTTCTGTTCAAGGTCCGAGCAAGCAGTGATGAACTTGTTAGAGCCTGTTTGTGTTTAATGATAAATAAACATTGGCAGTATTTTGTAAAAAAAAAAAAATCTTGTCTCGTAAAGACAAGAAATTGAAAAATCACAAAATATTCAGAAAACGTTACCTTTGATGGTAAAGTTACTTTACAATTCTTTAAAAGATTGTTAAAAGCCTTTATTTTAGCATTCAGATTCAGAAATGATTTTAAGAATCACTTTTTTATTTATTTGAGAGTTGAAAAGAC